AGTGTACCATTAATAACAAAAGTGTGTTGGTGTGATCGTGAAACGAAACGATCCCAAGTGATCCACAGTATCAAACTTCTTTTAAGTGATTAAATAATTAAAGATATCTCTCTCCATGTGAATAGGTAAAGCTTTCTTTCCGCACTCACCAGAACGATTTGACCCTCTGCAATGAGATGGTCAAACAAGTGTGATGTTAAATTGTGCTCAAATACAGTCATTTTCCTCCTTTGGTATCAGTGCTTCAATCCGCAAAAGATTTGATTCCTCCTCCACCGCTCACATCATCATATCAAAATAGAACAGACAAACGCTCATCGTGCAGTAAAATCGTTTCAATGCTTATTAGGCTGAATTTAAGATTTGCCAATCAGAATATCAAATAGAAAGAGCCCTTAATGGATTCCTCACAGCCTGCTCTCTTTAAACAAGCTCCAAGATCAAGACAACTTCAGCAGAGTCCACCCCTTGACGCGTTTCGTCATCCAGGACGTTGTCAAAAGACGGCAGAACTTGTGGACCCAGCCAGGTCAGATGTTCGCGTGACGTTCTGTGCTGTGTTTATCTTCCGCTACAAGGCCTTCCATGTTCATTATCTCGTTCATGACAGCTGCACATATCGCCAAGGAGGGAGCCTCAGTGGATTTCCAACATATGGATATAGGAACTTGTGCAGCAATTAAGCAAAAGCGCAGTATATTCTTCGGGCAGCATCTTTTTTCTTGACCAAAGCTCATGACCTTTCTTCTCCATAGACAGACAACATAACCTGCTTACTTCCAGCTTGTGTAGTTAGCTTCTGGTACCCACCATCTCCAGGTCTCCAAGTCTGTCTCTCTTTTTTCCTGTCACCTTTCTCTCATTTTAGTTCATTTTAATCTCAAATTTTACTGTGATATATTTCTTTATTATTTACCTGGGTGGCAATTCAGCCAGACGTGTTTGTCACAGATGTCATCTCAGTATCGTTCCTTCCTCTTATTGCACTCCCTAGGCTCCTTGCAAGCCCAGGTGGGTTGTTTACTATACGAGGAGGATAGTTTATAGGTGATCTCTATACAAAGTGCATGTTTTTTTTACTTTTTATACTGTAACTCTTCTGGTCTCCAATGCTGACATAATGCCAATGAAAATTCACTGTTCTGCCCAGTTGCTATGGCCATTAGGAAACCAAACAAATATATTACAATGCTTAACGATGTTTCCTACATACTTTAGTATATACAGCTAATTGGAAAATTGAGCTTTTTAATGGTCTTGTGAGAGAGGGCGGAGATGCTATGAGAAACCTCATAACTACACTTTCCAAGACCTATAACAAAGTGTGCCGCACTCAGCCACCGAGTCAACCTTTAAATTAGAACTTGTGGAAACATATATGCATAACAACTTGAGTTAACAGGCAGTTTGTGTATTGTTCGAGGTACCGACTTGCAGCCTCATGTAAAGAATATTGACCTCTTCAGACATTAAATAGTTTCATGGTAGTTCATTGTATGGGCTCTGACCACAGACTTCTTATTTTGCATCAAACTTTCATAACTAAAAGGTGAACTCCTTCAACATGCAAAAGCACACGAAATGGGTTACTTCCAATTCTAGATTTGTTCTTGCATAGATATGTACCAGTTTTCACACGATCTTTCTGTTAAATCTTGACCTACATCTTTCCAAATGCTTTCAAACCTTCTTGTATATATTTTACTTTTTAAAGGGAATGTCTAGTAGTTTTGTACATGTTTGCTTTGTTTATTTATTCTAGGCAGGACTACAAATAGGTATATTTTCACTCCAGTACTTTACTCATTGTAACCTTATGTCATCTTCTATTCAGTCAGCGGATGGACTGTTAGTCCCTTAGCATTGTATCATCCTGAGCTGCTGTCTAATTTCTTTGCTGAATCATTCCACTTCTGTACTTATTCTTGCCAAAGTTGCAGAGAAAGCTTCTGTTCTTCCCGTCTCTTTAGCTAGCCCATCATGCTTTTTGAATATTTTCATGATTTAGGTATTAAATTTAAATTGCGATATATCGGCCGAGAATTGCACTTTTGGCTAAATGCCATTTTCCTGCTGATCGGCACATCCCAGGTTTATCTCCTCCCCGCTGGGCGCTTCTCTGTGTCCCAGCGGGGAGGAGAGAAAGAGACAGCCAGCCGAGCGCTGCGTGAGGAGAGCGCTGTGAGCGGCCGGTGTCTCTCCTCCCACACCGCTCGGCCGCCTATCACAGTGCGGCAGAGCGCTGTGTGGGCGGAGACAGCGCTGTCACAGGAGGCTGGGCTCTCCTCTCGCACCGCTCACTGTTACCTGAATTACTATTTCAAGTTATGATCTGCTATATAAGCATTCACACTTACAGGTATGAGATTCTAAGGATTCAATCATGAGATTTTTGAGCTCAACACAAGAACATACATTTATTGGTATATAGTATCAAGACTTAAATACAATGAACCAACTATTTTTTTAACTACAACATACAAAGAAAAGATTTATACATGCCAAATACACAGACATTGGTATCTAACAGACAAACAGACATACAGTTAAGTGGGGAAAGGGTACAGATATAGTTACCCATTAATCGTCACATGAGGGCCCCATCCTGGTGAAAGAGAGCTAACTTCTTTCCTCAATCATTAATATACCCCCTGTGTCCATAGAGAAGCATTGTGAGCCTTTGATTGGTTGCCTCCCAATGCCTAATGGAGATTGGAGGGTTTCCATAACCCTCTTTACAACTCCCCACCCCTTTCTATGATTGGCCAGTCTACCTATTATAAGATCAAAGGGTCTTGGCTCCGAAAAACCTGATGACCAGCCCTACTCTATGCAATTATCCGGACATGCCTGGGCTGAACAATACCCCTATTTGCAATTCATTGGCCTGCCACTTCCCTCCACAGTGATAACCACAACAAAGACTTTATTTCCCTACTAGCTACCCCCACCTCAGGTGAAATATTTAAAACAAGAAATAAAACTATATACATATGTCTTATGAAGATTTGACATAAACTCATAAGGTAAGATCACTCAGCCTCCTGTGACAGCGTGTCAGAGAGGAGAGGAAGGTACAAACACTCTGCGATCAGTGATCGCTGAGTGTAGATAATTGAGGATATGGTATGTGGACTATATCCTCAATTATGAATGAATGGGAGTGATCTATATCCCCTCCTGTTCATTCATGATTGTAATTATAGTAAACATACTCTGTTCTCATGTTATGAATGAACAGGAACACTCAAAGAGGATTCCTGTTTATTGATAACAGGGGATACAGAAAAAGAGATTGTGT